CCTCCCAGCCCTGCCACCCCCCCGAGCGCTGGCCCGGGGGAGAGGCCGGAGGGAGGAAAGCCTGCTGCTGTGCCCAGGAACTCGAGACGTCGTTCACCTGCGTGGATGAAAACGTGAACCTGGAGCATGGGAGCGGTGCCCCCAGCCCTGCCGGCGGGCGCTGCCCCGATGCCCCTCCGCAGCCGCGCTCCTGCAGGGAGCTGCCGCCCGAGTGGGTGCACGACTCTCCTTCCCTGGTCTCCGAGGAGGACGATGCTGCCTCAGAGGCGGCGGCCGGGAAGTCCGTGGACTACGGGTTCATCAGTGCCATTTTGTTCCTGGTCAGTGGCATTTTGCTGGTGATCATTTCCTATGTGGTACCCAGAGACGTGACGGTGGATCCCAACACGGTGGCTGGGAGCTGCCGCCCGAGTGGGTGCACGACTCTCCTTCCCTGGTCTCCGAGGAGGACGATGCTGCCTCAGAGGCGGCGGCCGGGAAGTCCGTGGACTACGGGTTCATCAGTGCCATTTTGTTCCTGGTCAGTGGCATTTTGCTGGTGATCATTTCCTATGTGGTACCCAGAGACGTGACGGTGGATCCCAACACGGTGGCTGCCCGGGAGATGGAGAGGCTGGAGAACGAGAGCGCGAGGATTGGGGCTCACCTGGACCGCTGCGTTATCGCCGGGCTGTGCCTCTTAACCCTGGGGGGTGTGGTGCTCTCCAGCCTGCTGATGATGTCCATGTGGAAAGGGGAGCTGTACCGGAGGAGCAGGTTTGCCTCCTCCAAGGAGTCTGCGAAGCTCTATGGGTCTTTCAATTTCAGAGTGAAGTCTGGTGCAAATGATAATGTGCTCGAGCTGTCGCTAGTTGAGGAAGATGTGCTTGCCATAGATAATTAGTGTGGTCATGACTTTTAAGGCTGCCTTGCTACAGGAAAATATGTTTCATTAAAGAGAACAGATGCGACTAAAGATAGCTGGTGATGCAGTTTATTTGTCTGACAAGAATGGTTTTTTATTAAGCTCTATAGTTAAATGTTTGCAGTGTATGAGCACTTGTTGTAAAGGGAAGACGTGCCAGAGAAAATGCAGCTGATATAAAATAATGGAAACCACTGAATAAAAAGAGATTTGTGATAAGCAGGTTCTTCAGATACTTGTTTATCCTAATATGAAACATTCCATTGGTGTCTTGCCTACGTAATTTTCTTATTACTCCCATATAGAACAGGAACGACCTTGACACTTTGGAAGCTGTTAATTATTGCAATCTGCAGGATTGTTAACAGTCTGTTTGGTAGACTGTTAAGAAGCAGGACTAATAATCAAATAGCAGGGCTAATATTTAATTTAAAAGATGCTTTTTTATCCTTTAATTTTAAACTGATCACTTCCCTTCTATTGAGTGAGAGAAAGAACACCACTTTCTAAGGGAAGAAAGAACACCACTTGCTCATGGCTTGCCACAAACCTCCCCTGTTTTCAAACGATCATACAATTAGTGATGATTATTTAAAATATAAAATAAGAAGCAAAGAGCAGGGAACCATATGGCTCGTGGTATTGGTAGGAGACAAAAGGCTCTTTCAGTTTGAGGTCAGTGGCTCTGTTTCAGTTCAGATTAGCAATGATTGATAGTCGTTAACTTCTGATAGCTATAGTGACCCATATAAAAGAAGTTTATTTCCTGGTGGATAGATGTCTTTGCATGAAAACTGCCATAACTTGAATTAACTGACCTCTTGTTCCAAGTCTCAAAAGACCCAGAGTGAAAAAGCGTGGGGGTGCTGAGACAGAACACTTCTCCCTCAGTACAGATGCCAGAAGAAATTCAAGCTCACCTGAAGGGCTTTGCTTTTACTGGGTCTGTCTGCACCTAACTAGTCCTTTTGAAATGGGATTCATGCCACTGGGGTGTCACTCTTCTCATAACCAGCAAGGAGAGGTCACAAAGGAGCTTTCTGGGGCTCACTCAATAAAAACCAATTTATTTGTAAAAAATAACTTGCTGGGAAATACAGAGGTTAGATATTAGGCAGTTTACTGGCTGACATGGGACTCACTTAATGTAGGGGTACATGTGTTTCTGTGGCACAGGAACCAAAACCGTACCACTGATGCTATTTACTTTATTATCAGCCAGTTTCTGTGGAATGTTGAAGTGGTGTTCTTGCAGGGCTGAGAAAACTAACAAAGATCGTTGTATGCACCGCTGTCAGTTCTTACTGGGCCGTGCTTAATATATATATATATCCTGTTAACATATATATGTATGTTATTGTGTCCCTGCCAAAGCCAAACATGAGTGAAGAGCTCTGTCTGTACAGTCCCTGACTGCAGAGCCCTAGCAGAAACATGTGATTCACTGTCACAGCCTTATCAATCATGAGTTAGGTCTCAAATATCAGGAGTACGAAATATTTTTTAAATGATACGTTATTTCTCACTGTGACATACCTGAGAAGATTTCTCTTGGGAAGGGGGCAGGAGATCTCATTTATGCCCCCTTTACTCAGGAGTAAGTGGCAGCACAAGGTTCAGAATAACAAGTGGCAGGTGGAAAAATGGGGTGGTCACACAGAGACCGAATGCTTTTTTGGCACCCAGTTCATCATTCCCTCTTCTCTGGCTGTTCGTGTCAGGAAGGCACATACAGAGAGACCTGAGTCTGGCACTCACCTAGTTTGCCCCTCCAGCTTGCCAGCCGCAGATGCTGGTGTGGGTGCCTTCAGCCGAGGGGGTGCCCAGGGAGCTGTGCCGGTCCAGGTTCCTGCCTTTGGTCACTGTAAATAGCATGGTGTGGTCCCCAGGCTTTAACGTTGGCCATGCAAAAGAGATCCTGCTTCAAATGTTATCTAACTGCCATTTAGTTCAGTGTTATTTGGTAATTAAATGAGCAGCCTTATTAGGTGGCACTGCTGTCTAGTAGATGATTTTGCCATTTTATGTTATAATACGGAACATATTTGCAGGCAGGAACTCAGTGGTGGCCAGCATCTCCACAGTTGTCTTTGGAGAGCTTACATCCCCCTGGATAAGTCATCAGGGATTGAAGATTGAATTCCTAGGGTAAATAAGTGAGATAGCTTCCAGATATAAGGGGAAGCTTTCAGCCTGTTGTGATCAGTGAGCGTGAGGAAGGAAGTAGCCCAAGAAGCAGGACACAGAGAAGCAGGGCTCCCCCCTAGCTGGCCTTTGCCCGCTGGAGGGTATGTGAACACTTCCTGCAGGGTCTGACACGTGGCTCGGAGTGGGGTGGTGGGGATAGTGTGGCCTCTCACCATGCCTCAAGGACAGGAAGGTGCTGGTGGCCTCCGGAGGTACAGGGAAAGCCATGCCAAGTGAGAGGGCAGATGGTGCTCAGCCAGGGACAGCAAGATGGTGCAAGGTAGGGGATTGACATCACAGGATGAAAACTCTTTCACCAGGCTGGGCCCCTAACAGGAATCGCTGTGGTCACCTCTGTGACAAAAGCACTAAAACTGAGGCTGATGGTTTTGAGAGCCACTATTTTTATTTTTTAATGATACATATGCATAAAATTGGAGTACATTCCATTATTGCAGAAAGATGACAGCTAAAGCTATAAGGATCACAGATTTCTTGTAGGAACCATGGCATGCCTTAATGCTGATTACTAGCCCTAGAAAAGGGAACATTCCTCTGACTGTCAGTATGATATTATCAAGTGAGAAGTTTTCTGACACTTTGTAAAATGCCTGTCACAGATCATGAGCCTGCAATACTTAAATGAACCCTCGAATTTTCCCTGAGCATTTTAAGGAAACCTAAGTCAACCTAATAATCTAACTATTCACTGCAGAAGTGTGAAGAGTAAAAAATTTAAGTAACAGGACTAGCACAGTTTATTTTGGTGTTAGTGTACGCTATGAAAGAGGAGAAGGCAGGCCTTCAGTTCAGCAGATAAAGACTCTTAAGGACGTTTCTCCGACTACCCAACATGATACCTTGTGATTAAAAATCTCAAGACTTTGTGGGTTGGTGGTGCGATAGAAAACCCCTGGACTCTCAGGTTCTCGTGCTGCGTGGTGCGACAGAGACCAAAGCGGTTGCTGTCTGGTGGCCAGCAGTGGCAGATGAATGTCCTAGCCCACTGCCTGGTGAACGAGGCTTTGCGCCCTTCACCTCATGCAAGGTGGTACCAAAGGCTGAGGCCACGGGAAATTGATCTCCCTCTCATGCACCTTCGCAATTCCATTTCCCCTGCCCAAAATTTAAACGCTTTAATGGTACAAGTGTGAGAAAAACTATGGGTGTTTTTCTCATTGCCTGGGCTAGAGTTGTGCAATGGATCTTTGGAGAGCTTTCTTCTTTGGGGAACTAAATTTTGGGGCGTACCAGGTGGATCTGAGGTGCTCCCTCGGTTACCCCAGAGGCGTGTCAGGATATGCGCCATTGGCCAGTTTATTTCTGACCGACCCTAACAGCGAAACGTGACATTTTCCCATTTTCTACCTCATGATGTGTCCACGGGCCAGGCCCCATCCTGGCCTCTGCCTTCCCACTGGAGGGGACGTGGAGGCCAGCAGTGAGGCCCGAGGTGCCGGCCTCCGCCGATCAGACACCCCCCCGGTCACCCGTTTAATCGGTTTCTTTTCCTCGCTAGATGCTCGTGGTCGAGGCTGGCCTTTGGGAGCTGCCTGGCTCCTGCTGGGGACTGTCACCAGAAGGGAGACCCATCACCAGGCATTTCTCTTAGGAAGCCACGCTGGGTTGTTGCTGGTTTTGATATGTTTACAGTTTTTAATCTTTGTAATTGCTTTTAGAAACCTGTCTGTAATGAACATAAAGTACCAACTGGGAAAGCAACTGATTTTGTCTTGTGAAACTCCTTTTTGACCCACAGCGGGGCAAAATGCCACAGTCCATCGCGAGCTTTTCAATAGTCTGTTTGATGCCTTATTATAATAGCAACAACGTTCTGTACAGATTGAAAAATAAAAGTCTGTGAAGCCAAGCGCTGTCATCACGGCCATCCTTGCTCCTTGCTGAAGGGCTGGTTGCAGCCGCGGGTGCAGCCCCTCGTCCCTGGCTGCTGGGAGCCATAGCAGGGCCCCCACGGGCAGCAGGGCCACCTGGCCTGGCCAGAGGTGGCTCCAGATCCAGCTGCGCCAGTGCACCCAGTGCCCACGGTCACCCAGCAGCCGTGCCTTCAAACCCCTTCTGCACCAGTGTCCCACCTAACTCCACAGAACCCAAAAAAATAAAACGGAGGGTGGGAGCAGCCAGGGCTGCATGAGTAGGCAGACGAGCAGGTGTTGTCACAGAAAGTGGGTATCCAGCCCCTGTCCACCATCACCACATCTATCACCACCTCAGTACCACGTCCTCACCCCATCTTGGCTTGGCCATGGCCAGGGCAGGACAGCAGCTGGTCCCTGGCCCAGCACTGGCTGCTGTGACGATGGGTGGGCGCAGGGGCCCCAGAAAGCACTGACGATGATGGGTGGTGCAGGGAGAGTCAGGAATGGTGCTCCTGGAGGGCTGTGGGCCAGGCATGGCTGCCTCAGTGGTGGCTTCACCTCCCCTTCCAGAAGGGACACCAGCATGCCATGGCTGTGGCAGAGCAGGGCAGCAATGGCAGGGTGCTGGTGTGGGGTTAGCAGTGACCAGCACCAGCAGCAGAGCAGGACCTCATGGTTTGCTCCGGGCTTGAGATTTTTGTTTCTCCCCAGTCCCCAGTGCATATCAGTTAAGATACTAATCCATTTGACAACCTCTACTCCCTCCTATGTGCTACATGAAGGTATGGCATTGCCACGGTTTGAGGTCAGGGCCACTCCTAGAACTGTAACAGACTCTCTGTATTGACTCCTTCCCCCCAGTCTTGAAAGGGAAAGAGAAATAAGGGAGAGAGACGTACTGATTAAAAAGAAAAGGAAAACAGCTTTAGTACTACCACTAATAATAATAGTGATAATGATAATAAAATAGAATATGTACAAATATATACAGGATCAGTATGGACCCCAACTTCCCCCTGATGGCAGTACGTCACCATCATCTCCTCCCCGCCCCCAGCTCAGGGACACATCCACAGATGGAGACTGGGTCCAGGATCTGGATTCTGGAGGTCAGTTCAGGAACACAGGACTTGGGATCAAAGGCAGGATGGATGG